GGAAAAATATAAGGCAAACCACAAACAGAAATCATTTTAGCTAAATTTTTGCGATTTAATTCCTTATTATATTTACGTTTGTTAGTGGTCCACCGGGGTTAGAAGGATCTAATGTTTCTTAAACCCCTACCGATTCATTATCGCTAATATCAAATTCATCAACTGAATTCCTTTTTTTCTATTGGCTACTGTTTTAGCTTCTTTATATTGAATCGGCACACAAGATAACAAATGTCTATTTAATCCCCCCGTCCCACCTTGACCCCCACCTTGTTTTTGTTTAAAAGGTTGCTTACACTTATTACAAATAGCAACACTATTTTACTTATCGAAAGTCATAAACTGTCACACAATAGAAATTTTAGGGCGTTGATACTTGATCTTCTCCCTTGTGGGAGGTATAAGGGGTGGACGTCAACAATTTTGCTCCGTTGAATTTATAGTTTCATTTGGAACTTGTGTCACCAGACTAGTAGGTGTATCTTCTAAATCCTCTTCTCCCAAATCAACTTCTACTTCTTCACCTAAATTTTCATCAAGATTAGGATTAATATCACCATAACGTCGTTCTAAACTTTCGTGATCAAGTTGAACATTTGAATGAATATCATAAGTAGTATCATCAACACAAGTAGAATCATTTGTATCAAATCTAACTCTGGACGTTGATTTAGATGAAGTTCCACCACATTTACTATTCTTTTTTTTGTACTATTTTTTTTAACAAAATTAAATATTTTAAAAATGCCATTTTGATCGTTCTCTTGTTCTTTCTCTTTTCCTTTACATATATTTTTTGCTAGATTTCATACTTAATTATATATAAAGTGTAATATAAAAATAATAATAATAACCCAAAAATTAAAGGCAAAAATTAAAATATAAATATTATGAAACGAATGTACCAACGTCTGCGTTATAGCATAGGTTAAACCGATTCTTGAAGCTTGTAGTTTATTGTAACTTGTAATTTGAAACTCCAACCAATACTTTGATAGAAAATATATATATATATATATATATATATATAAAAGTTTAGAATTGAAAATTGAAATATATGTATTATAATAATATGAGAATCAAAATGGAATTGAAATTAAAACATAAAAATTAAGATTGAGACTTGAGAGTTGAGAGGATATAGAAAATAGATTAGAGAAATGATAATAGATGATTTTGTAAGAAATTGTAAGGGATAGAGAGCTATTTATAATTTGAAAAATGGGTTTAAGTGTAATTATAATAACTTGAGGGTTTAAATTAAAGTATTAAAAGTAGGGGGTGGTAGGGGGTGTGGGGAAGTGAAAAAGGTGAAAAAATTCGTTGGGGGGGCGGGGGGGAGGGCCACTAGTCGTTTCCCCAACAACTGCCAACGGCTATTTTTTTTAATTTAAAAAAATTAAAAATAAAAATAAAATAGAGGGATCCCGCAAACCGGCCAGTTCAGTCGGGCCGGGTCAACCGGGATGAAGGGGTGAACCGGCCCCTGACCGGTCCCCTGAACCCCCATCCCTAAAAAAACCTTTCTTATATGGGACCGGGTTAGGCGGGCCGGTTCATCGAGCCGGTCGCGGGCCGGAGCGGGCCGGCCAAGTCCCCCTGCCCGTCCTAGTTGTAACCCACTTCTAGTACTTACCACATTTAGTTGCTTTGGGTGGGTTCAATATTACCGAGTAGACCTCCCTGGGGATGCAAGTTCAGAGAATTAGCTACTTGCGCAACTTGTTTCTTCAAACTCATCTGGGACATTTATATGCTTCTTATGTTCTCATCCTTCTTATCTACCTAGTATTCATTTTTGTCCCTATTTCAGCCATGAGATTTTGGAGTAGCTTCTCATTAGTCATCCACCCTTTGGTGCACTCAGATTTGCGCCTTGGTTTGGATTTTGGTATTGTTGCACAGCCCATTGAAATCAGTATTGGTTAGCCCCTTGCACTTGGTTCTGGTTTTGGTTTTGGTTTTGGTTCCCACCCGATGAGAAGTTAGGATGGTTCCTCCAACTAGGGTTGTAATTGTTACCATAATTTCGCTAAGCTCTACCCCTTTGCGCATTACCCACATAGTTTATGGCATCCATGTTTGCCTCACCTAGTTTGGTTTCTTAAGCCCCACTACCACTACCCTAGTTTCGCTAAACGTTTATTAGTGCTTAGTTTAGGGCCATTTGTTTGAAATGCATGACTATAGTATGTCGTATTGCATCCAATTTGGCATTTATGGTGGTAGCTTAATCTACATCTAAGATTCCCATGGTCCTTTGGGTTTCGGTCTTTGGCATTTCCCCCCCATACGTCAAGTTTCCTTATGAAAGTCTATCAAGTAAGTCGAATATTTCTTTATAAGTTTTTGCTAGGGCTTTCCAGTTGTTGCATTATTAAGAAGGACACGTGCATTATCAATCTAAACTCTCAAAGAATGTGTGAGCTAGTACCTCATTAGTTTACATGTGATGGGGAAGGCATTCAATATTTTAATAAAACGAGTCCATGCTTGGTACATATCCTCCCTTTGGTTTTGCTTAAAGCGTAATATCTCACTTCTCAACCATGACGTTTTCTTGGATGTAAAGAATAAACTCAATAACTTCTTCGCTAGGTGATTCGGGTAGTGATGGAGTTTGGTGGCTCAGAATCTAACCAGCGCCTAGCGGCTCCTAACAATGAACATGAGAATAACGTTAGCCTCACATGGTCTGATGAGACTACATTTGGAATGTATGTATCACTAATCTCTATAATGTTCCTAATGTGGATTTGAGGATCCTCGTAGGGGAGACCGATGAATTTCCCATTAGAATGGATGAGTTGTTCCATGCCCTTTTTAGTTCAAATCTACCCCTGGTGGATGTTTCTTAATACTAGACGCCGCATTGGTTATAAGTAGGACTGTCACATCACGAACTAGTCTTGCAGATACGATAGGGGGTGCCTCTTGGTTATTCAAGTTATCTTGCTTATACACATTTTCTTGGTTACTATCCTCATTATTTCCATGAAGACCTAACCTTAATTCACTTGTGTCCTAGATTATCCATTTTCCTGTGTTGGCGTAAATCTCTTTCGGGTTTGTTGTTAGGTCCGACAAGTGCTCCTTTCCAAGGCAGACTTGAAGGTCAAGTGCCTACAACAAAAAATCTAAGATCAAGTTATTAACACCTGAATATTGTATACTTAAGAAAATCGAATATAAATCAATTTTAAGTTTCCTAGCAGCCGCGCAAAAAAAATTGTTGCTCCCCAATATACACGCAAGCGTACGTAGTTGTGCAAGTAATATAGATTCTTTAGTGAAACGAGTTATAATTCTCAAAGTAACTAATTGTGAACGACTTTAAGATGATGTTTCAAGCAAGTGAAAGACAATCCTAGGGTTGTAGCATGTAATGAATCTCGCGTATCATATTCTAGGGTTAGACTAATTTTAGTTGTCAAGTTATTGGTTTACAAGGTTAATTGTATGAATCGAGTCTCTCAACCTCTAATTACCTACTCCAGTTAGTTGTCTGACTACATCGTTGAGCGGGGATAAACCGGCCTAACTAGCGAGCATTTATATTTCATCAATTTCTGTAATCAAGCAAGTTGTTCGTCTGAGCGTCCCTCTTAAACACAAATCACCTCAACTTAATAGATTGATCGAGCTCTGGTACCCCCTCCTCTCTCGATTTTAAGATTAGACTATAGATTTATCTTATGGTGATCAATTAAAAAATACTAAAACATGAACATAGAAGTAAGTTATAATGACAACCAAGAATTAATTCAAGAGCCTTAAATAATCAACATTCAATTCGTAGCTATAGCCCCATAACTAGGGCGTTTAGTCCACTCATACTATTAGAAAACCACAAAATATTATTTTTTATGCGATTTCCAGAAAAATAGAAGAGTTAGAAAATCAAAACCTATTACAAAAGATGAGTTTTTCTCTTACACACCAAAAAAATGTCGAACTCCCTACAATATAGTCCTAAGGGTCTATTTATAATAGTTGGGAACGACATAATCAAATTCTACTACAACTAGAATTCTTATTTAATGATGTTTTTGCTGAAAAAGTCATAATATGGGTGGGGCATCGCGCTTCCCATTGCCCTAGGCCCAATTCTCTAAAATCTGGGTGTTGGCGCGCCGCGCTTAGCAGTGCGCCAGGCAAGTGTCTCTGAACTTCATCTCGTGGCGCGTCGCACCTCTCAAAGCACTAAGACAAGGCCTCTGAAGTATTGGCGTTGGCTCGCCGCGCCTTACTTGCCAGCCACCGTGACTTTCTGCCTAAGCGATTTTTCCTATTTTTTGTTTTCTCCTTCTCCTAATCAACTCTAAGTTTCCTTGAAAGTTCATGAAACAACTAACCATTTGTGTTAGTGCACAATCATCGTAAGTAACACAAAATTCAATCTAATAACTAAAGATTATTATTTATCTCAATCAAAATATGGGCAATTTATCGACAACTTAGGCATATAACTACACCTAAGATCAGATATCATAGCAAATTTTGACGCTAATCTACATCGTTCATATGATGTACTTTTATGAAAACATGGCAACAAAAGAAGCCACAGATGGTTCAGTTAGTGATAATGAAGATGTGCCTAAGCCAAGGAGCATTTTTGTCCATTCAGATGCATTGAAAAGTTCAATATAAATTAGCCAACTTAACTTTTATTTAGCTAAAGTTAACGTTATTAGATACATTAAGTTACATTCATATAACGCATCTAAGCTGATTCTCATTCACATTTTGTCCTTTTTTTAACCTATACTTTGCATATCTTTATATAAAAATTGTTAAGATTATTGTTGGTATTAAGTGTTTCAGTATTTTGTCTTGAAAGTATCTTGTGTATTCTACTATATTAGAAGCATGGGTTGAGCACTTGTTATCAACCTGGCTGTATTCTGTCATTCAAAATCAAAAAAAAAGGGTAATTTGGACTTTTCACAACACCATATGCACGTGTCTTTCAGCTTGCACTTGAAAAGCCATGTAAAGTAGGCTTTTCGGTTTTCCTTGTTCTCCTCAACCCCTGAAATCTTCCATAACTGGTTTCATAGCCCTACAATATTGTTTTCGAAATTTCAATACGGATTGACAATTGAGAAGTCGAGTGTCTAATGCGCAACTTTTTACAAGGTGTTGTTTAGTTTTTTGTTTTCTTTTTTTATATCTCTAGGTTTTATTATTTCTGGTTCTAATATTGGTGGTTAGTTACCCTTAATTTACCATAGTTGTTTGTGTATAGTTTTTCTTCCATTTAAGTTGATTTGCAGAAATGCAATAGTTTTGCTTCTTCTAAGATTATTCTATTCAGGATGTTGTTTTGTCTTTCTGGTTAGTTGTATCTTCAAATCAGTTTGGTAGTAAATATTGTAGATGATGAAAATTGGTATTTTGAGTTAGATATATTCTACACCTTTTGTAATCTAAGTTGTTTCCTTAATTAATATCGCGGTCTACAAAAATTGATACCTTTGAATTGTGACACATCAATTTTGTTAAATTTCTTTTTTTAGAAAATGTATATCAGAATGGTTAACTGCTTTGAGCTGCAAATTGAAATTTTAGACGATTGACTTGGTGGGTTTATAGCTAATAGTTGGAAACACCGTACGTACTTCAACCAACAATCTTCTTTCGGCTAACCTAGCCTCTTCCTGCTGATTTACTCCAAATAACAAATCAACTGCGCAAGGCATTGCTTTCTTTTCTTCTTGATTTATAACCTTTAATTTTGCTAACTTCTGTAGTTGTGATTATAAATTATTGATATCTCTGTCGGTTTTGTTCCAGATTTCACTCGGTTTTGTGATAATTGGCATTTTTGCGTGGTTCAACATTTCAAATTTTTGTGAGTATAATTCTTCTATTCACATTCAAATTTTGTTCTTGTGTTATGAGTGATCAATATTTTTGTTGAATAGATTAATCAACTACTGTTGTTTGGCCTCTCCTATTTTCTGAAATTGATTATATCGATCATTTTTAGGCTTCTTGAATGAAGTTTAAGACTATTATGGGTTATGCTTTGAGTAGCTCATATTGGTTTATATTGCTTAAATTGAAATATTTATTTTAGATGTCAATTCCATTTTTCAGAAATCCAATAATATTTCCTTAATTTATTTGCTAATACTATGACCTTTCTATTCTAATGGAGTAGTATGTATCTTCATGAATAAAATTTATGCAGACTGTATTTTTCATGTGCACTAAGACTGACTTACTCATAGAGTAGAATGAATGATATTCCTTGAATCTTAAATGTTTGATACTGCAAACTACATATGGTAACTATTCGTATAATTTCTTTGAAGAACTTGCCAATATTGTGGTACTTTAAAGCTAATTGTTGAAACAAGGGGGATTGAATCTTTGAACGGAAGAAACATAAATTATATTTGGATTTCTTTTGATGGAAAAATCGTTGTTGAACAAGTAAAGTTGCATCAACAGTGATTTCGACCTACGTCAGCAGTGTTGCACGTTCACTAACAATTATGCTGTTAAGAAATGTAAGGACTCTACTGAACTGCTAACTCTCTACTCGCTAAGTCTTTTGATGTTCGGTATCACATGTGTGATTCGTTTTCTTTCAGCCTTGTTTACTCAACTCAAAATACGTTACTGCATAATGTTGTTAATCACTTTTGCTAATTCAAGAAATATATTACTATCATTGTTTTCTCAGAAATTTTTTTAAGGATTGCTTTGAATTTTGTTTTATGTTTTTGGCACATGATTGAAACTATAGATGAAGGATCATGTAATCACTTGATCTCTAAAACTATTTGATGTACGCTAATAGTAATACGAATGGACTATGGAGTAAATGCTGCTAGCGGTGCTGTTTTGAAAGTTCTTAATTGCAGCGAGGAAGTTGTGAATGTAATACAACTACAACTTGCACTAACTATACATCTTAGGCCCGGTATACGGTGGTACCTGCCACAAAATTTAAAGACCCCGAAAGTGCCTGAATAGAGCATTAGCGAGTACCTTTAATTTGCAAGATGTGGGGGTACCTGCCGCAAAATCTTCAGACCCCAAAAAATATCGATTAAAGGCAATTTAAGTGCTTCACGATTTGCTTTGTGATATAAGCTCACTCTGCTAGATTTTAATGTTTGTATTTCACTTATGTTATTAGTTGAAATATCTTGGAAATGAATGTAGAGTCATCTATTAGTTTGAACCCCTCCAAAGACAATTCTCTATGCTTCTGGAAAATTTCAAGGAAGAATGGTCAATGTAACTCATTAGTTATGCAGAGTTTTGGAAGTCTTTGGATTGTTCTTACAAGTTCGAATGATCGTACACGATCCTCCTTATTGTGCTCAATAGATATTTCTAAATATTTGTTCACACCTGATATTTTCGTCAAATTAAACAGGTATAAAGTATATGTGTGCACATATATTACTCAATCTTCACCAAATATTATGTATTACTATTATAATAATTCTGGAAGTATGAAGAAGATGTTGCTTTATTACTAAAGATTTTGTGTGCCTGGATGTCCAACTCATTTGTAACTGAGAAGGCCATATTTTTATTTCTTATAGTTAGTTGTTGGCTAGGAAGGGTATAGGGAAAAATGATTCTGTTTTCTGTTACTTTGCAGCTTCGAGTTCATTGTGTTGAAGCCCTTGAAACTCCAATTGTGGGCAAATACAAGTATAGTGGATTTGTCTATCGCAAATGGAAGCAGATGCTAAGAGTAGATATTGAGCCGACAATAAGGAAAACCTACAGAATGGAGAGGCCAGGAGGTTTGGCTGTTCAGAAAGGAAATGTCTTATCTAAAGTCCCTTTACTACATCTGCATTGTAGGGAGCTTGTTCTCCTAATATTGTCAAATTTATTGAGCTTCATGGTCGAAAAAACGATGAAACACTTCAATTATAGCTCAAAACCAGATCTCCTCCGGTTTGTGTCCTTCTGGGTGTGAAAATACTATGATAGAATTTCATTATGATGATGAAGTTCATTTCAAAATCAATTGCGTTATATTATTTGTTCTTAACACGCTTGGGTCATGGAGTGTGGTTGACATTACTCAGTTATTTTAACGACCTGATGTCATTTCAAATTACAAAAATTTGTAAAAATTTATATACATTCTCATAATGAGAAGGGGCCATTCGGGCTGACAATGAGCTAGCTTAATAAAAAGAACATGAGTTATCTATCAATGAAACATCTAATAATAAGGTAATATAAATGAAATACCTAATAATAAGGTAACATTGGGCCCGTGCGTGCACGGGCAGAATTATCTAATTCATGAAAAAAAATCATGTTTTCGAGCTAACTTAGGGCCCGTTTGGATGAGCTTAATAAAAGTAGCTAAAAAAGTACTTTTAAAAGTGCTGAAACTTATTTTTAAAATAAGCAGTTATGTGTTTGGATAAAAGTGCTGAAGTTGTTATGTCAAACGTGAAAAGAGAAAAATGGAAGAAAGAAATGTTAGGGTTATATGGGTAATTTGGAGATTGTATAAAAATATTAAGGGCAAAAAGATAAAAATGTGGTCAACTTAAAACAACTTATAAGCTAAAAAAAAAAGCACCCCTACCCCACCTTTTAACTTTTGGCTTAAAATAAGTTTTTTTAACTTAAAATAAGTTATTTTGAGTATTGTCAAACAGCTAAATAAGTCAAAAACCAGCTTTTAAGTCAGTTTGACCAGCTTTTAAGCTGAGCCAAACAGGCTCTTATTATCTAAGACACATGGGCAACAAAATATTAATGCTACAAAAACCTTTATTACTCTTCAACATTAGATCTTTTTAATTTAATAATGATTTATATATTATTTGTCTCATACACCTTTATTTGTCCGAGATACACAGTATAAAATATTCATGCTACAATACTTTTACTATCTTAATAGTAACGTATACAATATTTTTTTGAAGATACACTTTATTTGTTCTAGATGCACTAACTTATGACACATTTTTTCATGCTTCTATAATACACCAAAAAACATACATGTCATGTATCCAAAAAAAATAACGATTATGACTAACCTCCTCTTGTCTGATGTTACAACCTTGAATTGAAATCGATTGTCTATGCATATTTTTGCATTACATTCGTAATGGTAGACTTGTCCTTATACAACTACTTGACTTGAACTACTTTGTGGCTACGATCGCAAATAACATGATCTAAATTACTATTCAAAACACATAACAAATCTACACGATGATTATCTGCAAGAATTGTTATAGATACAATCCCAACGTCATTTCCAACTTCAACAGTGGATGTGTTTTGGTCAAAAGATATTTCGCCATTGTTATTGCATCCAAAATTTTGCTTTTAGTTATTATGCATAATTGTACAAACCTCAATTGAATTGACGTCTTTTCAATTTCATATAAAACCTCATATCTTCTCATTTTGAATTTTCATTGGAGTTACATTGTCTTCCATCATGTATTTTATCTTAAATTTTTTGCATGAACAATTGATTCCTAGTTGTGTTGAAATACCACCGCGTAGATATTTTAGGTTGCTTTCCCTCGCAATGATATTCATCATTGCTATAATTTTTGTAATCACTTTCAGAGATCCACGAAGCCGAATGCCTTAATAATATGGCTATATTCTCCATTTGGAGAAAAAAACTTTGAAAATTTACAATTCAAAGGAATGAATCAACGACGAAGAAAAAGTTTAAAACACCAGATATGTTAATTTATGTGATTTAGTCTTTTTTAAGAAATATGTAGCAGTTGATATGAATTGATCCACCAAATCCATTTTTTTGTTAAATCCTCATATTTTACTTCTTTTATCATGAAATTAAGTTACACCATTTAATTCAAATTAATTAAGTAACATATATTTTCCCTTTAATTCTGACAGATACATGTATTTAACCACTTTTAGTTCATGTATCCGATTGAAAATGTGGTATAGAAAATAATTTAGAAATCTATTGGAATTCCAAGTAGTGATATTTTTGTAGTTTGTGAAAGTATAAATACTTGAAAATATCAAGTGTTAGGGCCCGTGTTGACACAGGTTATGCCCATTTAATATAAATAAGAAAAAAAATTATCTAACTACGTAACCTTTCTTTCCAGATTTTCTAAAATTTTCTACCATTTCAAATATTACAAAAAATTCTATTTTTCTCTCCTTTTCTTCTTTTTCGGATACATAACTCATAACCCTCCAACTCAACGATTTTTATTTCTATTTTTACGCCTTAAATCACTCTCTCATATTAGCAGTTATCTTCATCACTTTATTTTTTGAATTTGAAATTCATTCTCTCCGGCTTATCGATTTCAAGTTTCTAAAGAGGTAGAATTATTTCTTCATCAATTTTTTTCTTTTCAGTTCTTTAATTATCATTTTAAAGAAATAGTTTTTTCGTCTAAAATAATCTGATACATATGAATTTTGCTCCCTCTTAGATCGAGTTTTACCCAATTGATTTTACCTATTGGAGATATGGTACCTTGTGTATTTGTTTCTGATGATGAAACTTTCACGAAATAGATATAAACAACAAAATTATCCATTAATCATGAAAAGTTTGAGAGTGGAAAGTCGAAAAAGGTGCATGCTCGAGTTCTAAATCTATTGCTGGAAAAACTCCCCAAAAGGGAAAAAGTTGAATATGTCGCTACACGGCCATTACTATCACTTGCAAATTTTCAATGTATCTCATTTATCTGGTTATTAAATTAGACTTTGTTAGTATTATCACCACTCTGATAAATCATTGCTATAATGACCTTTGTTTTATGTAATGTATTATGCTCATATTTAAGATATTGATACACAACCCTAATGTTATTGAACTTTCAATCACTGTTTATCATGCTCATTATAATTGTACTTGATACATAAACAATACTTAATGTATCATTTATATGTATCAAGTTCTACAATGTATCATCAATATTATTCAAATTAAAAGGCTATATAGACACCAAATCAATCATGTGTTATGCTGCACTCTTTAATGTTTGTTCAATCTCATCCAATTTAGCAAGCTATGTATATGTATATACTTCCTTCTTTTCATTTTATGTGACACCATTTCCTTTTTGGTCAGTCCCAAAAAGAATGTCACATTTCCTTATATGGTAAGTATTTTCAGGTTCAATTCATCTTTTACCCTTGTTGGTTCCACTTAATTTTAAACATTGTACTCTAATACATTTATGAGGTGAGACAAAAGTGAATGTACTTTTTTAAAGGACAATTTGGTAAACAATTCAAAATCTTCATTATTTCTTAAACTCTGTGTCCGGTCAAATGTTGTCACATAAAAATGTGAAGGAGGGAGTATTAACCAATAATAATCTTGTTACATAAATCATAATGTACTATAATTAGAGCATTGTGCATTAGCCATACTCATTATTATCTGTGACAGAGATACATAAACAACATGATACATTTAATACATAATAATCATAATTACGCACTCTTTCATACTGATATTTTATATTAACAACAAACTAACTTACAACTCTAAAAACATATTATATATATGTTAAACTAGTAATGTATAAAGTTATAACAATTTAGTTCTTAACTATACGATTAATTTAATTTTATAATGTATCTACTTCTTCTTGTCGTGATTGTTGAATGTTTATAGTGACCTTTTTGAGTTCCTTAGGACAAAATCAACATATCATATCTTCGCACAAGATATGGAGTATTATTATGAAAATACGATAGTGAAAAGTCCATGACATGATATGTTAGCGATAAAGATGATCCACTAAGTCACTTCAATTCATCACCTAAAGATGATTTGATTTATGTAAAAAGTGATTATGTATCCACACACAAAGTTAAACTGATACAAAGCTGCAATTGTACCATAAACATTAGAAAAGCTATTGTTTCATGTATCATTAAAAAAATTAATATAAATTTTTATTAACATAAGTACCACATACTTATTATTGCATACTCATTATTAAATGTATCAAAGATACATCAACGATATGATACATTTAATACCTATTAGTCATATTTATCCATTCTTCCATATTGATACATATCACATATATATGATACTTTATATCAACAACTGAATCACATCTCCAAAAACTCATTACATATAGGTCAAATTAATATTGCATTAAATTGTAACCAATAATGTATCATGGTTTATGTCAATATACAAATTCAAAAATAAAAAAAATATTATATAAAACACAAATAAAGAATAAATTCACATGTATTTGATACTTTATATTTTCAACGCACTAACTAATAGAGCTAAGAACATATTAAATATACGTCAAATTAGTAATGTATCAATTTGTAATCAATTATGTGTCATGACTTATATAGCAATATACAAATTCAAAAATAAGAAAACACAGGAAATGCATAACAAATTTAGACAATTGCACCAGTTGATATATCAAATCATTGTATTTTACCAACATTATGTTCGATTGTATCAATATAGAGAGGATACATAACAAATCCAACCTCACATTTCTTCACCTAACGTATAACTTTGCTCTCATATCATTCCTAATAATCCGTGGAGATGATTTAGCTTCTACAATGCATCTGATCTCAATTTATTTATTTATTAATTCATCAATATTCAACTCAGCTACAATAATTGAAATTTGATTCACAAATGAAATATTTTCTCCAACCACTATCACATTAGTCTTGAATTGTTCATATCTAACTTCACTTTCCCATACTCCTGAATGCCTCAACAAAATTGAAATATTCATTATATATCTTATAGAGTTTTCAACAGAAGTATAGAATCTTAGTGGAAAGTTTCTTCAACGAAACAAGAAGAACGATGAACATAGATTTTGAATAGGTTTGTTATGTTAGAATCTATGTTTTAATGATTGAGTAAGGATAAACTGAATAGCATAAAATATGAAATTGTAATTAGTTTTTTTTATGTTTTGGTTCCCCTTTTAAGCAAAACAGCACACATATAATGTATCCGGACAACCATTTATGTATTTGAATGACTGATATTTTAAGAATATTTGTAAAATAGAAAAGAGTAGGGATAAGATGTAATTTATGTTTTACACTATTAAATTTATGTAAGTTATACTATTAATAATAGGTGAAACATATACTTGCTGATAATATACTAATACAAAAGAAGTAATTATATATAATTGTTGAATATATACAAATAAGGTCTAAAAAGTGAAAAGAAAAAACTGAAATAAATATTGATACGCTAAATCCATATAATCATATACAACATAATGTGAAGTGTATTGATAAAAATACAAATCACAAAAACATATAAAATAAATTATACAAATATCTCAATTGTTTCACCATCATCTCAGTCCATTAACCTAGATTCATCTTCTTCTTTCTTCTTCAAATATTTTTGCATAATTTATTGCATCTTGATATACAAATGAAAATCTAATTTTCTTAATAATAATTAAATATCTCAAATAATTCTATTAAAATAAGTTTGTTTAGTCGTGATTTATATGTATCTATGGAGATAACTGAAAAAGCAAAGACAAATCATAGGAATATACAAATACAAATCAAAATACACAAGGTTGAAACCATCTGAAGAAATATAAAAAAAAAGTAACCGCAAGAAGTTACCTGACATTGTTGGAGCACAATTTGAGAGGGGCACAAGAAATTTTTGAAATTTGAATTGTGATTGTTCTTGAGTGAATTAAGGAGAAAAACCAAAAGATTATGATGAAAGAGAAATGCCATTTGTATAATCGGGAAAAACAGAAATTATGATAATATATATTAAATGTACAAGTCCAAAAGTGGTTCATATTAAACAAAATGAAACGTTTATGATAAATATATAATTAAGTAGTATATGTTTACTTAATTGCAATTTTTTCAATTTCTAATTAGGTGTGAAATTAATCATTGGACATAACCATATAAATTTGTTATTAAAAAATAATATAACTTTATTGTGTAATTATTTTAACTATGATTTTAAGGAGCAAATTTAGGATTTATCATTTTCTAGTTACGGAGAATTTTCAAATAAAAAATAATTATTAAAAATTGAATATTCAAATCTCTCCAAATAAGATTAAATTTGAAATGAAATTACCATGCATCCCTGAGAATAAATTTCAACCATCAAATTTTAACATAATAAAAAATTTTATAGATGCATTTGAAATTCTTTAAATGTATACATACGCTCAATCACACATGACTAAAATATATAATAAATTAATTAAATCTCAATCATATATATCGAACCGCAGAAGTAAAAGAAAATTCTTTCATCTAAAAACTATCTAAGATTATGTGTTTGCTTAATTGCTAATTTTTTTCAATTCCTATTTAGGTGTGAAATAAATTATTAACCATCATATAAATTTGTTTTTAAAATAATAATATAACTTTATTGTGTAATTATTTTAACTATGATTTTAAGGAGCAAATTTACGACTTATCTTTTTCTAGTTACAGAGAATTTCCAAATAATCATAATTCTTAAAATTTGGATATTCAATTTTCTCCAAATAAGCTTAAACTTGAAACAAAATTACCATGTATTCCTAAGAATAAATTTCAATCATCAATTTTTAAAATAATAAAAAATTTAACAAATACGTTTAAAATTCTTTTAATGTAGATATACGCTCAATCATGCATGACTGAAATATATAATAAATTAATTAAAATTCTAGTTATATATCGAACCACACAAGTAAAACTAAGTTCTTTTATCCTATAGCTATCTAAGACTTAAGTATTCATTCATATATAAAAATGGTATAAACATAGATTTTATTTAAATGTGAAAACTAAAAAAAGAATTTTTTTTTAAATATGAGAAAGTATGTTATGATCCAACTTTTGTCAAATCAAATAATAAGCCCAAATGGTCCGAAGCGTTGGTTCGTGTCCAGCCCACTACTAGGAGCGGACGAATAGTTTATGAAGTTTAGAGAGAGAAAAACATAGTTTTTAGAGAGAGAAAATTTGGGACGAAGGAGCACGAAGACGAACCAAGAACCTTATTTTACTCAAAAAACACATACGTATTTACGTCAATTTAGGCACCTGTTGTCTGTATAAGCAAGGGTGTGTATCGTAGGAGATTGAAATGGCTTCACAAATTCTAGGGCAAATATCTTTTGCTTTGAATTGACGTATTTTTCATCAAAGAAAAACCCTAGAACCAACTTCAGGCTTGACGCATTGGTAACCTTACCCGCAATTCCGGCACAATTGAGGTATTCCTTTTGATTCCCAACTTTTACAAACCCTAGCTTTGGACTTCATTCAATTTCTTGCAAACCCTAGAGTTCAATTGTTCATTTACATAACAGGGGAATGTGAAATAGAGAGTTTACATATGGGGTGGTGCAAATTGCTTAAACTGTTATCATGAGAGCTCGATTTTACGTGTCAAGTAGTTGTTGATGTGTGTCAACAAGTGAAACTATTTTGTGTTTGAGCTTCATTTCATTTGACTTGTTTGAAGCTGTTGATCACATAATTATTGTGCTTTTACAAATGCATGAGGCATGGGCAGAAGTTGCAACAATGCCCCTGCCTTTCTGGCATCTTTTAGTATTTGAATTCTGTTTGTGATCTTTGGTGTCTAGTCGTGCAAATGTGCTACTAGGCTGACATGCAATCATGAATTAACTACTTTTATTTTTTGACTGCTACATTCTAGATACTGAGATATTAGTTTTTAATAGATTTGGTGCTTCACATGCTATACTTAATGGATATGTATAGACTACGAGCAATCACACTCATACGAATGAACTCGCAAGAGAACATGTAATAATGATTAGATGCATGCATCCTGGATTTGATGTTTATGGGTACCTACACCTCAATTAATACGATAATAACTGGATTTACTATCAAATATTTATAGATATTTAGTGGATTTTGTAGTGCATAGATCTGCATAAAAGCTACTTGGTTCACGTGAAGTCACATGTTACATTGTGGATCCACCCGTGATAACTACAATCAAAATTTGAAAAAGGAAAACCATTTATAGTGTGCATGGAATGATGTTTCTTTCTCTAAGTGGCTTAGGGTTCAATATGAGCTCTTTTCTGTTGTGTAGCATTAATTTGTACAAAGATTTTTCCCATGGATATTATGGAAGATATTTTAAGAAAGTTTTATCTTTTCTTTTATATGCTTGCTGTTACATGCTGAAATTATCTATGATCTCCCAATAGGAACGATCAACGTGGATCCTCCGTTGGAGCTTATTCAATCAGTTTGCTTAATAACTATTGCATAAGAACTTAATGTATAGCTGCTAAGGATATTGGACATGTTACTTGCTGTCTTGATCTTGAAAAGTTTGTAGAAAGCAAGGTGAAGTGAGAAAGGGAATTGAGACATGTAGTTCTTTGTCCCTGGATGGTCCATATTTGCGTAGTCTCTTACATTTGTAGACCAATTGGTGGAGCACGTCTTGCCCCTTTTTGAACCTATATATATGTTTGTATTCTAGTATTAAGAGGCATTAACATAGTTCATCGAGTTCTATATCTCTTTCCTAATATTTCATAGAGTCATTGTAAGATATGCTAATGGTCATTCTCCCCCTTCTCCAAGTATATCTATCCATTTAGCAATATATGTGTCTGGTAGTTTTGTATCTAGCAATGTTACTTTGGCGGCATATGCTTCCTTGTTTCCAGCATAACTGAATCCCAGAGATCTTACTTGTGAAGTGGCTTTCTTTGTAAGAGACCTGGATTCTCTGGTGCCATTGTTCCTTTTTCTGCAGTCATACATTTCACCTTTACCCGTAATGGACTGTTTACGTAGTGGGTATTTTTTTTTCTTTTCTTTTGCATTTATTCAAGAAAAAGTTGGACGGGATTGAGGCTGCTGGAATAGTGCCTTAAGTTCATTAGTACAAAAGGTAATAAAAACCCAATTCTTGCATTTAAATGATACTTATTAAACAAGACCGTACTTACATCCACAAAATCCAAAAGGTGCACATCTTCTGTTATCTATGTGCTAATATCAGTTGTTACTACTTTCTCTTGGTGTTTCAGTTCCTGCATGGTGTCTTAAGTGTTGTCTTGTCTTTAGGAATTTGATCAAGGCTTGTGCTGATGGAGGGAAAGACCCTGTAGCTTTTAAGGTGGGAATGCATGGATGTGGTGCGGAATCTGATCCCATAGCCAATGCCGAGGTTGACCCCATGGGAGGAGTTTTTGAAGGTGGAGTTGGTATTGGTAACAAAACTGCTCTACGGAGATCACCAATCGATGAGGTTCAAAATAAGCTTAGGTAATGTTAGCAGGCTGCTTCATTCTGTCCTGCCTATATGGAATTTAATGATTGCAGTACTTCCTCTATGCTTACAGTGAGATTTGTTGTTGTTGACAGGCAGGAGTATGATTTCCTAGAGGAAAAGAGAAGAGAGTTAGAATTTCTTGCGCAAGTATGATAGTTCGACTGGGTATTATAGATTTTCAGAAATTATGCGCTTGAACTTTTGGCATGACTTCATTCTTCTTGTTGCAGGGTGGTGATCCACTGGATTTCAAATTTGGGAATGCTACTTCACTTAGTGTTCAGTCCACTTCTCTGACAGATCAACATCCAGATCAGTTTGTGACCAGGTAATTTTTCAGAGCTCTGTTAGTTTTCTAATTCTTATTATGATTGCTAATTTCTATCTGCATTCTAGTGAAGCAAAAGGTAGTTTTGCAATTAATGCTTCACCTCATGGAGACTCAGTTGAAAGTAGTGGTCGACTTGGGGCTCCTCAACTTTGTGAACCCAACAGTGCTGACAATCTCATGCTATTTGATGGTGAAAATGAATTCATTGAAGGTGTTAGGTCCTGTAGACACCCCAGTAAGAGCAATCTTACTCCGTCTGAGCAGTCATCTAAGTTGGATAGAAGTCGAAATGCAAAAGAATTGGGCGTTTCTGCTGCTTTTGGCGTCCCTAGAAAAGCTTACAAGCGAAGACACAGGCCCCGGTCTAATGGAGATGGCACTAGATCAAGTACCACTGATATAATTCTAGCTCGTGGTGGTCATAGCACATCTTTGCCTTCACAACATTTTACTGAAGATGTTAAAGGGCTAGTTTCTGATGGTGAAAATCCAAAAGACCAGAAATCTTCTTTGAACATTTCACAGCCTTCTATTCCAAATGGTTTTATGCCTGTGGAAACTCCGTCTTCTGATAATCAGCTGGATTCTGAAATACATGGCGTTAAAGCTGCAGAGGCAACTACTTACTTGAAGAATGAGGATCTGGCGCATAGCATTCCTGAAGCTAGTGCTTCCAGAGATTTGCTGGATAACCAACATGATCAGAATTCACTCACTGGTGTCGAGGAAATGTCTATTCTGGAAGGTCTAGAAAAGCCTCAATCATCACTGGGAAAAGAAGGGGTAGGTTCTGCTGGTCAGGAAGGTCACTTGTGTACAGCTGCAGCAGAGCTTGAGAATCAAGCTAGTATCAGCAATTTAAATAGGTTAAGTCGTGGAAAGAGCGAGCAGAAAAGCCTACCAATTGATGTTCAAAGCAGTGGTGCAGCATTGGGCACAAAAGGTTTAGATTCAGAATCTTCTCGCACTCAGGCTATCCATAGTCTGGATCGAAATACTAATGATAATGAGACGTTTACCAACCCAACAAACTTAGACTCAAATGGTGACTTGAAGGAACAACTGTCGGTGCCAGAGGGAACACCAGTTATAGAAAGCAATCTTAAAGAACAGAAAGAGGTGAAAGCTGATGACAGTTGTGGTTTCACTAATGAGATATGCAATTCTGGTCCCAAAAATCATCAGAGTAATTTTATAGATACGTCACAGGACGAATTTGCTGGCAGTAAATCTAATTTGCAGAGTGAGGTAAAAGATAAAATTACCACCCAAGTGGAAAAAGTTGCCCCATCTTCATTAGAAACTGAGAGGAAACCCTGTACAAACTCAAGTGATAGTTCCAACTTTCAAAAAGGATATGCTTGTATTGTTGGCCGTAAGGGTTCGATTGAGTCCAGAATACCCGAGCCATCCCAACATGTATCACCACATGGAGTTTTAAATCCTTCCCCTGAGGCACAAGCACCTGAGATCAACCTTAAACTTGCTACCCCGGGTGATGAAGACTCAATCTTGAAAGAGGCACAGATTATAGAGGTTTTTCCCTTATTCTTTAAAATGTCGCATCCTCTTCTGGTCGAGCTTGTAAAATTATTGCTTATTGTGTTATTTGGCTGCAAATATCTAATACAATTTAACAAACAGGCAAAACGTAAAAGAATTGCAGAGTTATCTGCTGTGGCCTTTCCGTTGGAGAATCGACGGAAATCTCAATGGGATTATGTACTCGAGGAAATGGTTTGGCTGGCAAATGATTTTGCACAGGTATGGATTAATTGACCTTTGCCGTTGGAGCCTCTTTCGTTTCTGCTTTTCTAGTAGCTTTTTCAGTGCCATACTGAACAGTTGAAACATGATTAAATTTTCATTTAGGTTCTGGGAATTTTTTTCAGTTTGTTTTTCCAAATTTGACACTTACGTAGAAGTCTTTCTTCATGTAGGAACGTCTTTGGAAAATGACTGCAGCGACTCAATTGTGCCATGACGTTGCTTTTACGGCACGGTTACGATTCCAAGAACAAAATAGCAGTTGCAAGCTAAAAAAGGTAGCCCATATTATGGCCAAATCAGTCATGGGTTTCTGGCAGTCGATTGAGGTACATTGATGACACAATATTACGTTCTTTTGTTACTTTTTTATTTTCCTTCCATGAGAGAATTGTCTTTCTTTTGTTTATTTAGTTACATATGTGTTTTTTTTGTTCCTTTATACTGGTCCATGAGGTTAAACAACTTCTCGATGGAGGATGATAAATCATACCCTGGTTTTATTCTTCCATTTTGCTGTTGGTATTTCCTTTTAATCATGCTTTGGTTACACTTCTTTTGAGCTGAGAGTGTATTAGAATCAGCCTTTCTAAATGTGGGTTAAGGTTTGAGTACATCCTACCCCGACACTGGGTATGTTGTTGATTACTGTTCATCTTGGTTGATCAATTCTTTTGTCCATTGTCAATTGTCACATTTATCTGCCTATTGGTAGTATGTAGTACTGTAACCCCATCTGTTAATTCATATTTGAGTATGAAATATGTGATGCTATGCTGATTTCATATGCACACATAAATACACGCACAAGCACAAACATATGTGTATGTATGTTTGTGTGTGTATTCGTTTGCTTGTTTATTACTTGGTTTAGGGTATGGTACACACATAGCACTTGTAACCATTTTATTGACATATTTTAAGAATATCTTATGAATATAACTGTTATTTCAAGACCTAATTTTGAATAAAAAATTATCAAATATTTATTGTATCATTATATGATTTTTTAAAGACTAGTCAAGTAACAGAAATTATAAAATTGATTCTTTAAATATATTTAGGAGTGAAAAAACTTGATTTTGTAAAGTCTAAAATGACTTATGTTAAGTCGATATTCTACTACAAATATTTGTGTAACTGGAGGGACATTTATTGGAATGAATAGAAAAAGTAAGAAACATAAGTAATAACAACTCATTAATATATATATTAATATCATAAGTCATTTGACTCATTGTTCTTAGAATAAAGTTTGTAGTAATTTATCCACCCTGCTTCGTATCTAGTGTAGTTCAAATAGACCTAGAACGTAAGAATTGAACTAAAACATGTAAGAAATAAAAACTTACCTAAATAATTAAACATTGTGTTCAATTCAGATAGTAATTATGCTGTAAATTAATTTAGATTATCGTTAAAAGGACCTAAATGAAGAAAAACACAGCACGACGACCAAAAAAGAAAGGCTATCTACCAGAAAGTCTTGCCCTCTATGATTAAAGCCTAGTTTTGAGTGGTAATCACGATATCATAACCTATTACCTATAAAAGAACATAAATCGACAATTTCTTTACTATTTAATGTACAACTTATTTAAGTAGGCGTGTGGACATGCGCATTGTTTGGACATCTTTACGATTTTAGCCTTAACATGCCCTGTTGATTTTAATGCAAATATATTGCCTTTTCACAAAATAAAATCAACGTATGCGATTTGAGATCATGATTTCAAATCCCAAATTCTCCAAAAACCAGGATTTGAGATTCCAAATCTTAATTTTAATTTTTTAAATGTAAAACTTGAGTTAATTTTGGTTAAAAAAAAACTCGTCAGTTTATATTTTGCAAAAAAAGACTCATGCTCGATGTGTAGAGATATTCTCTACATAAGAAATTATGTTTTAAAGTTTATAAAATTATATGTATTCGAAAGTTTGTAATCATAAATATTTATTTATAGAAGGAACAAATATGCGGTTTATCAATGCAGTGCCTTAGGATATTTTGATATCTTGTTTATGACTATGATTTGCTTATTTGGTAAGATTGCATATTAATTTGGGAAACTTTGATAGTTTAAACAACTTCTTGAGTTTCATTTTTTACGAGAATAAATGCACTTGAAAAATTGAAATGCATGTTCAAACTTCAAAAAGCTTCCAATTTCAAACCAATCTGATTTCGAGTCATGATTTCATATTGCAGGTACAAACAGGCCCTTAAAACCAAAGTGACCTCTAAATTAAGTTCTAGTTTAATCTTAATCAACATAACAATCTAAATTTTGTCTTTCTAGAGCTTTTTCTTTCTTTTGACTTTCAGGTAGCCACCTTTTCGTTCTAGCTCATCGTTTCCCTTGATCTTAATCAACTTAACAATCTAAATTGTCTTCCTAGATCTTTTTCTTTCTTTTGACTTTCATGTAGCTACCTTTTCATTATAGCTTATTATTTCCCTCAACCATAAATTTAACTTAACTTGAAGTGAGGGTTTTCAACCACGACTCTCATACTTCTCTATCGATATCTTATGTATATATATATATATATATAATATAATAAAATAATAATATTTTCTCATTTATCTAAGTATGTGGAAAAGTTACTCAGTATATGTGCTTCGGAAAGGTAATAGATAACCTGACAAGATAATGGAGATGCACACAAGTTGACCTACATCACCATCATAAACAAATGTATACATAACAAAACATAACAGTTTAATGATTTTCCTATACGATCATATCATGATATGAAGAAAATCATCATTTAAAATGAACGAAAACCCCAAAATGCAGTAATATATAATCACGAGTTCTAGCACTATGGCCTAGTGGTCGATGGAGTGGTTGAGAACCCTGAGGTCTCATGCTCAAAACTTTGGAGACAAGAAAGCACTAGGTCATTCTTCTCATTTGTCCTATGATATTTGATGTTGGTGGGAGGTGGTAGATATCCCGTGAAATTAGTCGAAGTGTGAAAAAACTGGTCCGTACAACACGATCATTAATAGTCGAAGTGTGTATATATATACACACACACACACATATACACACATTTATCAATTCTAAAAAAGGAAGGAATAACCAATAATACTCCTCCCAAAATGATCAACGTTAGACTTACTAAAAATATCTTGGACCAGTTGAACTCAAACTTTCTTGTAAAAACAATAAATAGCAGCTCCATTGTTTCTCCAAAAAAGAAAATTTATGTCACTCAAATAATTATTAACATATTGTTTCAAGTGCAAAAATACAAACTTGATCTATTCTTGAAATACGTGGAATCTCTATGTTATGGAAGGACAGTAATGTCAATTACAAAATTGGTCAAATATTGAAAATGTGTAATCAATCTCTGGGAGGGTGTTCATTATGAAAGAAAATTACTTCTAGAAAGACTGTCCCAATGTTTGTGTAGAAAGTTAACTAGCGAAACCCTTCATGTCATTATATCAAATAGTTTTTTTTTTACATATGAGCTAAATTCTAAAACTTTTGAAGTCCTAAATATAGGCAAATAATCAATTTTCACGTTAACCATATATTTACTTTTCACAATTTATATAAGTAAAGTCATCTTCGTTTTTTAAGTCCTATATATATGGATATACATAATAACAATAAGTGAAGATTTAATAACCTAACTTAAGTTCATTTTAAGTTCTAAATATACGAAAAAAATAATTAAATCACCATTTCTAAAGGACCCTTCGGGTGGCCCAATGATTTGGGTTTGGGACTTCCATGTTGGAGGTCTCACGTTCGAAACCCCTTGCCAGCGAAAGCAAGAGGTTTGCCTTTTGGGTCGAGTCGCAACGGGCTTGCCTACTGCAGATTACCTCTCTCATGTGTGGTTTCCGAGCTATTGCATAGGAGCAACAGGGGTTTTACCCCAAAGGGTAGCGAACTACGAGTTCTTTTTTTAAAAAACACTATTTTAAAAGGGTTAAAAAGATAGAACATTTTGCTAAAGGTCTTCATGCTTTTTAATACAACATAAAGATTTAGATTATTGTGAAAATCATACACTCATACCCCCTGTTAGTTTATGTGTAACCAATTAAATTTATATAGTTATTAAACAACGAATTTGAATTGTAAATGGAACATTTACTTTATTGATATTTTGATGATAAGATCTTAACATTGACGAAAAATTTGTTCATGCCTTTGACCAACAACAACATATCCAGTGAAATCCTAAAGTTCATGCCTTCAACCAAAAAAGAATAATCATTTTTGAAACATTATCTTTCGAAACTCATAAATAGGAAACACACACAAATTATTTGCTAAGATATACCAACTATTAGAAATAAGTTTATTGTACTTTGAGTATGTAAGTTATTTCTAATTTTATTTAGTTATTACTATATCTTATTTTATAGAAATTTCTCTTTTTATTTTAGCTTTTTATCTACTAATCTGCTTCGAATTTATCTTATATGTACTTAGTTTGATGAAATTTCATTTGTGTTGAGAGTTCATTTTATAAAAGGTTTAAGTGCTTTTAGAAAAATAGGGGTAACACCATAGGGGTATAAATATGGGATTTTTATAATATAATAGATGTACTTGTAAGTGTTCTAATTTTAAACTGGATGGGGTTTATGTGTAACAGTGTGATAATACTTTTTTACTTCAATTTAGTGCAGTCAAGGGTGCTTTTAAATCACTTTGCCATGATTAATGTGCGTGTCAGTGTCTCCATCAAGGCTTTATGACATTTTCCCTTCCCAGTGAGCCTCTCTTGAAGAGGCGACACTAAACATTCCAATTTTTTTTAGAAAAGGTGTTCTATTGTATTGTAAAATCGATTATTAAATTGAGTCCGAAAATCATAAGACATTTATTTTTCATGCATAAAAGTTGTTTGAGCTATAATTAAAATAGTATTGCTGATTCCATATTATATAAAGTATTGAAGCTCATTTTTTAATATTTATATTAGGATGTACAGAAGGGAAAGTACTATGGAAAACTCCCAATATTAGGATTGATGAAAAATATCATGAATGGAATTAAAGATTTGTTAGATAGTTAGTTTTGCAGTCCTAAATATGAGGAAAAAATAATTAAATGTCTGTCCCTAGATATTAGGAAAATAATTTATTGACAATCCTATCCAGTGAAATTTATTTTTAAAGGATGAAAAAAACAACAATATTTCGCTAAGATCCTTCGTGCTTTTAACTATATATATGATATTATAGTCTGCTATATGCAGATATAGGCTTGTATCATTGCCTGATTTAAGGCCAATCCTTTAAATTAACATAGAAGGATGAACCAAATCATTTGAAGTTTTAAGTTATCTTCATGGAATTGCTTGAAACATACTTATGTAAATTATTCATGTATTCCAACAATGAATTTATGAGCTCTGCTTTGTCAAAAATAAATAAATTTATGAGCTCGGTTATTAGACTAGGAAGCGGTGCAGCAACTTTTTCATTGCGGTCCTATTACATTGGATCTTTTTTTCTATGAGCTACATTGTGTGATTTAACAATATTTCTCAATTATGTAATTCACTGCCCACGTAAGTATTGGGTAATCTGGAAACATTTCTTACAGGATGTACTAATTCTGAACTTGTATACGTAAGTTGCTTGATTTGAAGAGCTTCCTTGATGTATGTGATCTCAATACAACTGGAGTGAAGTTGGGAGAATTTATTAGTTGTTCTTTAGAAAGAAGAAACTTAAATTTAGCTGGTTATAATCAGATAGAGCAACCTTTAAAACAAATATTAATGCTCATGAAGCTACTAATTCCAGTTAGTCACTTCAGCATTTTCCTGTTTACTTACTTCCTATGAAATTCTGGAGGGAGGAAATCTTTGGTCCTTAATTCATAGTTTTGTTATGCACTTTGCAGGGGGGAAACAAACAACTGGAGCTACCAATTTCTAGAAAGGATCACGATCTTGCTATTAGGGAATATGCCATGAGATTTCTGAAATACAATGACTCTGATGTTCGACAAAGCCTTGCTGAAGCTCCGGTGACTCCAGAGAGGGTGTCTGATGGTGGAATTGTGGATGTGCCCCGGGAAGATCATTTGGGAGAAGTATAAATATGTTTTACGTGTCAATGTCTTTTTTTCTTTCTGGTCTTTTAATGTTTCACCATGAATATATTTTAGGGATTGATTTGAGTGCTCACTCATTTCCTTTTCTGGGGGGATACTCATTTATTTTTAGTTCAGAAAAAAGTAAATCCTTCTAAGTGATCCTCATTCCCTCATGCAGGAGAACCTCTTCTATGCTGTCTCATTTGGAGCAATGGAAGCCTACAGAAAGTCTATCGAATCTCATGTGCTTCACCGTGAGGTAATATGTTGAGAATCACTATTACACAAATGCTTGGTTTTACGTCTTCTGACCTGATAAGTTGCAAACTGCCTGTTTCATCGAACACATTTGGTGGACCTTGGCCTAGATACAAGTATTATGAGATAATAATGGAGAATCCAACTTTATTTTATTCAAAGTCAGGAAGTGAATCAAATAACTGAACTTGAACATTTTGCAAGTGCAGTGTCTCTCATGTACTCAACTTGTGTCTAATTATCCTTACAATTGGCGTCCTTTTATTCTTATAGATTTACATTCTTTATAGTAATCCTTTATTGGCCTGTATCTTTTCCTGCCTAAGGGGATAAATACTAAAATAGTAAGTGGATTGTGGGGATGAATAGAATTTACAGTTTGGTGTTTTCTTTTTTTCATGGATTTCATGAGTTGTGAATGCACTTCTTTAAAATGGAAATTTACAGTCTTAATGTATGAGGGGGAATGAACTTTTGGTGTAACTTGTTTGTTTGACAACCAAGTTATTTTCTTGATTCTGTATGTACTTATGTGAAGGAAGTTACTAAGATTTTCTATGAAGATGCATTAACAGTATGCAGTCCAAAATCTAAGCTGTACTTTGACTAATAGAGTAAAATAACAGGAGGAAATGTGATTTCTTGCCCTTGCATTACCTGTCACACAGAAAAATTCTTCGTGGTTCATATGTTTTTGTTTTAACTTGTGGTCAAGAACTTGACAGAGCTCATTCGCAATTCTTGAGGATTTTACTGATAATCTTGTAGTCTAAAGATAATTTTAGCTTAATCCAAGCCATTGTTGGTGGTTGATTGTGTGCGTTCGCGAAATGAATAGAGGAACATAGTTTGTGGCTGTTGTGTCTTGCTCCCAGTTTGTTTTTCTGACATCCTGCAAAAGCTATAGCGTCTTAAAAGATTACATTTACTTGGAAATTGCATGGGATGGAAGTAATAAGGACCCAGCATGATGTGTTTCTTCCTGTGCATTTGTCAAAGAGTTTATTGTTTTAGTAATCATTATTACTCTCTTCCAAATTTAAGTGTCCCATTTTGTTTGAGCACGATAAACAATAAGGTAATAACTGTAGTTAAATATTTTGCATATGATTTTTTCTAATACTACATGTATCTAAAGGTGTATATATAGTTAGTTCTTTCAACTATTTGAATGTTTTATAGTGTAAATGTTGTAGTGGATCACCTTTTTTTAATGTTAGATTATTGGACAAGTATTGTATTGTGTACGGAGTATGTTTCCTTAGACAATTTGGATCACCTTTTTTTAATGTTAGATTATTGGACAAGTATTGTATTGTGTACGGAGTATGTTTCCTTAGACAATTTTGCCATAATTCTCAATAGAAAGTGGGACAGATTACTTGCTCAAAAAAAAAATAAAAAAGAAAGTGGGATAGAATATTTGGAACAGAGGATTTTTCTAAAACTAGGTACTGGTTTTATTCACGATTGATAGGTTGTGCATATTTGACGATTCACCAACCCCATCTTTTCTGGCTTTAGCTGTTCGTATTGTGTTTTAATCCTTCTTGTTGATGCTAGTCTATTATTTGAAATTCCAGAAAACTGGTAGTAGTATGCACGAAGAGGTGGAGACATCAGCATACGATACCATTCCAGGTTTTCTTTCTTTTCTGTTCTCTTTTTAAATTTTTATGTTCTTGGGAGGTTGTTGCCTCCTGGTACTGTTTTTTCTAGCTGGTCCTATTTCTTGCTGAATTTCTATGAATTGCTTCTCTAGACTACGCATTTGAAGAGGATGAAGGAGATTCAAGTCCATATGATACATCAGTTGCCATTGAAGGTAACAAATCATCAAGATTTTCCCAGAAGAAAAGGAAGATCCACATTAAGACGTATAGTGGAAGACCATATGGTGTTCGCGCCGATGTACCATTTACACAGCGTGCAGAAAACAAACTTGGTACTCATCAATCTATGCAACTGGGAAAAAGGCCATCTAACAATCTTAATGCGTCTATTCCAACAAAGCGTATGCGTACTGCTTCTAGGCAAAGAGTTCTTAGTCCTTACAGTGCTACAACATCTGGATGTGCTCAGTTGCCAATCAAAACTGATGCTTCAAGTGGCGATACCAGTTCATTTCAGGATGATCAGAGTACTTTGCATGGGGGATCACATATGCCAAATAATTTGGAAGTTGAGTCAGTGGGAGATTTCGAGAAGCATTTACCATTTGATTCCGCTGAAGTTTCAAAACCTAAAAAACAGAAAAAAGTGAAGATTCTGGTACTTGATAAGTGCTATGTTTTCAGTAATTAACTTTTTTTAATTAGATTTTGAAGGATCTCAATGTTTATCTTTTCTTGATGACTATTCTCATTGATTCAGGGTTCTGCTTATGAACAGCGATGGCAGGTTGATTCTAATTTTCAAAACGAGCAGGTGATTTTCTTTTTCTTGTTCACATAGTGAATCTAATTGAGCTATACTCTATATTTTTGAACTCTTCAATTAGAGTTCAGTAGAGAAGGTATCCACTTATAGGTGTGTCTCAATGACTTGTAATTTATTCTTTTTTTCTTTCTCATAGCGGCTCACTTTATTAGTTAGTTTTCTTACCTGTTAGTATTGCACGCTTGTTTATGGAGGTTTTTGTGTCGACTTGTTTATGGAGGTTTTTGTGTCGACCTATTGACCCTGTTCTCTTTTTCTGCACATCGCTGGCAGCTCGAACAAACTCTGTTTTCTTGATCATTTACTAGGCATAGATGTATCTCTTTGCATATGTGTGCCTTTTTTCCATTTTTTTCCCTTTTTGTTGTTGGAGGGGGCAAATGTTACATATTCTTTCTTGATCCTGCCATTGGAGTATGTGAATATGCTGTGATTAACAGAACCCAATTTTTTTGTACATAAACTTCTCTGCTGTTCATGACTCAACTCAGTATATTGGAGAAGTATGGTATCATCCTCTTGATGGTTTTGAGAATGGCAATGCTAATGTGCATTTTTAATAACCAGATCTCTCTCTTTCACTCTCTCTCTCTGTCTCTCTGTGTGTGATGTGCGTGTGTACATTCTATTCTGTTGTGTCATGTTTTATGTATACACACGCACGTACATTTCTGTAACATCTGTGTTATTGTTTATAACTTTTTTGGTCTCAGAGGGATTCTTCAAGAAAGAGATTGGAGGGCCATCAACTTGATTCGAACGGTAGTAATGGTATGGTTTTTTACCAGCACATCAGATTAATAGCTTGATACTAAATATCCTTCTTGTATTAATGGCACTCTCTTTTGAAGGTTTATTCGGCCAGCATGTTGCAAAGAAACCAAAGATGATGAGGCAATCACTTGAAAATTCTTTTGAAAATGTTGGCCCTGTTGGTGGTTTTGTTCCATCTCCAGCAGCTTCCCAGATGAGTAACATGTCCAACCCAAATAAACTCGTGAGAATGCTTAGTGGTAGGGATCAGGGCAGGAGAGCCAAAGCTTTGAAGGTACTTGTGTGTGCTAGAATGTAGTGCTCTGTTTCAATTTGCTCTTGTTTGTTGGTATAATCTGAAGATTTATCCACCTATAAGAATGAATTTGATATGCAGATGTCTGCTGGCCAAGCAGGTTCAGGAAGTCCATGGTCACTATTTGAGGACCAGGTTGGTTTTCTTTTGATTTGATATATCCTTTCTTCTGCTTCTTTTTCATTGTAGTTTTCTGGCCTGATGTGTATTAATGAAATTGAATATCAAAATTTTAGGCACTTGTTGTCCTAGTGCATGACCTGGGTCCAAATTGGGAGCTTGTAAGTGATGCTTTCAACAGTACTTTACAATTCAAGGTGAGCATATGTTCATGAATTCTCTTACCATCTTTTAGCCAGACTACTCTAACAGTAGATGATTTTAAAACTTCCCTATATCTATTTTCATTACTGTGCACTTAACTCCTTTCTTTTTTATCTGTCCTTTACATTATCTTTTCACTGCTCCTAAAGAGTTGTCTTGAGTAAGTGCAGTGTATCTACCGCAAACCAAAGGAATGCAAAGAACAACACAAAATACTGATGGACAGAAGTAGTGGTGATGGTGCTGATAGTGCTGATGATTCAGGATCATCTCAACCTTATCCTTCAACATTACCTGGCATTCCCAAGGTTCAACATTTCTTTTCGTTTCTCTTACCTTGATGTTTACTTTTTCCGCCCATTTTCGTAATTTTGAACGAACCTGCTAAACATCATTCAGGGAAGTGCCAGGCAACTGTTTCAGCGTTTGCAGGGGCCAATGGAAGAGGATACCCTTAGATCTCATTTTGAGAAGATGATCTTGATCGGGCAGAAATATCTTTTACGAAAGAATCAGGTATTCTTGCATTAGCATTTCTCCATAAAATAAAGTTAGTCTAAGCCTCTTGGTGATATTAGAGAGAAGACCCTATTTTATGCTCCTTGAGCTACAATTTACTGGTCTGTTATTTGCATGTTCAGTATACATGAAATGACTTCATTTTCTTCAGGCATATTCATGACACATGTATGAAATTGTTATACCAGGTGGTTTTGGTAATTGGTGTTGCCATTTGGTTGTCTATCATACTAGGACCAAATGATATTAAGCTTTTGCAATGTGTTGCTTATAAAATTGAGCTACAATTATGAAGTGTGGGGTTTAATGAAAAAAGACGCAAAATGGAGAAAAATACTAATATATATGTTTTAGTCCAAGTCTTATAATTATAAAGCATGAATGTCAAATATATGTACAAAGAATTTGAAAAGATAATTATGATAGCGTGTAAAATCAATCTTTTTTTTGTTCCTCTTTTGAAGGTCTCCAGCATATCCTTAATGTTGAGGAATACAACATTACCACTTCCCAAAAAAGATAAAAATCAATTGTTTAGTTTCGACTCTTTAGGTCAGGCTCACTAGTAAGGAAATGCATGTCTTAGAGCCTTTATGATGACACTGAAGCGCACATTAAGCGAGGTGAAACGTTCAACATGTTTTGAACTTTGCTTTAGGGATTAAGTTCTCTCCTTTGATAACACTGCTTGCTTGGTGCTATTATTATGAATGAAATATCCTTACTTAACATCCGCTACACTGAGCCCAACAGAAAGAGTGAGGTGCCATTTATCAAAAAGTACCAATACAGTAATCAGAACACTATGTGTATGGTCCTTGACCAGTGTCTTTGTTTCATCCTAGCAATTTTAGAAATCAGATTGTAAGTCTTTTTTAGAATGGTAACACTGTAAACAAACAGGTCTACTACAGAAGCTGTGTAGACTCCCATAAGTAAGGAAAGATACAAGTAAAATTTCCTTTCAGTATAGCTTTTTACATGCTGTCTAGAACAAAAATATCTTCAGCTTCTAAAAATATTCTTGTTTTCACCCAAACTAGTTAAGGACTAAGCATTTCGTCTTCAACTTCTGAATGTTGTGTTGATTGTCCTCGAAACATCTCTGATTTCTTTCTTTCCAAGTCACTACACCAAACGCATGCTTGGACAATACTCCATCTCTCCTTCTGACTGGTTGAATTGCCATTTGTGCTGCAACAGTTTAGTACATCCCTTGTTTTTCCTAACATCTCCCACCTAATTTCCCTCAGCTTGATGAAGATTTTTCTCTATCTGATCTGTGCACTTCCAATCTAAATCAGAGTATATGTTAGAAATCTGAGAAAATTATACTCCCCCTGTCCAATTTATGTGTCACTCTTTCCTTTTTAGTTAATCCCAAAAGCAAAAAGAATCACACCAACTTATGACTTTTAGTTTATGAACTACTTTCAAAAGCCAATCCAAACACCCTCCTACGCTTAATGAGATGATTTATAACCATATAAAAAGTCTTCATTTCATTCTTTTCTCCTTGCCCAGTCCAATAACATCACATAAATTGAGTTTGGGGGAGGGAATATGTTTTACAAGCTCACATGATGTTGAAATTCGTTTAGAAAGTATCTTATCTGTACAAAGCAGGGGTCCATTATCTGTTTGTTTGCATTGTACATCTAAGAGTTTTTTTTTTTTTGGTTGATAAATGCATTATGCATCTGAGTTCCAAGTTGATGTATGCATTCCTGTTTCAATGAAGGGTTATAAACATGATCCAAGACATCTCCAGCAACCACATGATTCTCACACACATGCTCTTTCACAAATTTGTCCAAACAATCTGAGTGGAGGACCTATTCTTACGTAAGTCTTTCTGTGATATGCTTTTTTTTTGGAAGAATTGGACATTTCTCAAGTTTGATAATAACTAAAGCTAAGCTAACTCTTCATTATTCTTTTTCTTATGGTTCCTTCTGTTCGTTGTCTGAAGACCTTTGGACCTATTTGATGATGCACCCTTGCCTAGTCCAGACTATCTCTCTGTTGGATGCCAAGGTCCGCGCCCAGGTGGATTATCTATTTCAAGTCAGTGTGCATTGAACTCAGTGCTCCCAGTGGCTGGTGCAAACTTGGCAGTCCAGGGTTCCTCCAGTATGATTGGTGGAAACAACTTCCCGTCATCATCAAGTCCCCTCAATGCATCTGTTAGGTAATGGATGGATTATACTTGAAAATCATGTTTTGACGTTTCCTTATCATGTACCAATATGGGTAATTCTGCTCCCAGGGAAGCTAGATATGTTCCTAGATCTGCATCTCTTCCAGTTGATGAACATCAGCGACTGCAGCAGTATAATCAAATGAGAAATATGCAATCCAATATGTCTGCTCCTGGAGTTCTTGCAACCACTGATCGTGGTGGTGTTCATACGCTTTCCAGTGGCAACAGCACGGGCATGATGGGTGGGGTTAATAGAAGTATTCCAATGGCGAGGCCTGGGTTTCAAGGAGTTGCATCACCGCCTATGTTGAATTCTGGAAGCATGCTTTCCCCTGGGATGGTAGCACTGCCAAACAGTGTGAATATGCATTCTGGAGTGAGCTCTAATCAGGTGAATTCAGTGATGAGACCTCGCGATGGTTTGCGCATGATGCGGGTTAGTCAGTTTCTGACTTTTGATTGCTTCTCTCTTGTTGCTCTTATTTGGTTCATTGGTGAAGTTGGCATACAAAAAGTTTCCTTGTTGATTCAATTTAAAGGATTTTTAGTACTTTGTGAGATGACTTATAGATCTGTGCTATTTTGTTACAACTATCTTCCTCTTTTTTCCACTATGACCTGTGAGACTTGGTTACAACCTTACCTGTAGTCATTCTGTTTTTGAAGAGTAGAGTCCACATGATTATGGATGGAGAACATGTGAATCTAACAGTTCAGTTGGGCAAACTTGCAAATTTTATGTGAAAAGTATGTACTAAAGAATTAGAAGTTTGTGAGCGAGATTCATTTATTCATTTCTAACTATTGCATAAAGAACAAAGGGAGGTAATACTCATCTCACCTTTGCGTCATTTGATATGTGTTGAATGCTTCCCGAATCACAGCTATAGCTAAATCAAGAAGAGACAATCTGTGAAAGGTAAAGATTGTTAGCTTTCAGTGAACTGCTCTCAGCTATAAGATTTCATGACTTCGCTAAGGGTACACATTTGAGTGTTCTATGAAGATTATTCACTCCCACAATTTATAAGTTGTTGCTTGATGCTAGTTTCTGTATCACATTCTGGTCTTTGGTGGTTGTTGATGCAAGGAGCATGTTATGGACATCTAACTTCCCAATTTGCAATTTTGATGCATTCCATGCTATTGTGTCTCACCACTCTTTGCATGTTTCGTTGAACAATTGTTGCTCGGCTCTAGTTTCTGCATCATTTTCTTCTCTTTTTGTGGTTGCTGAATGCTGATACATAGGAGCACATTATCAACATGTAATTTTCAACTTTGCAGTTGCCATATAGTCCTTACATGTTTAATTCAATGACACTGTTCGGGTATCTCTCTTGCAGCCACCACAGAATCAGGAAGCTCAGAGGCAAATGATGGTTCCTGAGCCTCAGCTGCAGACCTCTCAGGGAAGCAGCCAAGTGGTTCCTCCATTTGGTGGGTTAAGTTCCTCTTTTCCCAACCAGTCTGCCTCTCCCGTTAATCCATATCCACTTCATCATCAGCAATCACATCCCATGTCTTCACAGCAGCCACTTATGCTTAGCCCTCATCACCCTCATCTTCAAGGGGCTAATCATGCCACCAACTCTCAGCAACAAGCTTATGCAATTCGATTAGCTAAAGAGAGGCACCTGCAACAGCGACGGTTGCAACAGCAACAATTTTCCCATTCACAGCCCCAACTACCTATTTCATCTTCTTTACAAAACAGTCCGAAGACCACATCACAATCTTCTCTGCCAGTATCAGTTTCTCCTTTGACATCCCCCACCTCAATGACCCCAATGCCTCAACCTCACACATTGCCAGCTCATGGGCATGCACGGACTGCTCAAACTGCAGGCAGCAGTCTGACTACTCAGATGAGCAAGCAAAAACTACGTCAGACAGGGCGGCAGCAGCTTCAATCAGCAGGCAGGCACCTTCCTCCACAGCGGCCGCAGTCACAATCACAGCAACAAGCTAAACTATTTAAGGGAGTTGGCAGAGGGAACATGACGATGCACCAGAACTTGCAGGTAGATCCTTCTCTAATGAATGAGCTTTCTAGCAATCAGGCGAATCAATCTGCTGAGAAAGGTGAGCAAGCTACTAGCTTGATGCAAGGTCATGGACTATATTCTGGGTCAGCACACGGTCCTGTCCAGATTGGAAAACAAGCTATGGCACCTCATTCTTCAAGTCAGTTGCAACAGCCCCAGCCTAAGATTTACTCTGGCCAACCAGCTCCATCTACTAAGCATCTTCAGCAGGAGATGCCTTCTAATCCGGGTAATAGCAATCAAAATCCTGCCTCATTGGCTGCCTCAGATACCAATTCATCTCAGCAATCTGTTCCGTTCTCAGTCTTAGGTTCTTCTAACCACCAAGCCTTGGTGCATCAACAGTCACAGGTGCAGCCACAGCCAAAATTGATGAATAAAAAACAAGCAACTGTACAACGAGTTTTGCAGCAGAACCATGTAGTAAATTCAGATCCATCAAAGAAGTTGCAAGCTGGTGAATCTCAAGCTGAACAACGTTCTATGTGCAAAACTTCTCAGATAGGTGTAATCACCTCAATGCCTCAGGAGTGCAACAATGCAACTAATGTCGCAGATGCTTCAACCCTGAACAATAATCAGTGGAAGGGTACAGAACCATTATTTGATTCAATAGGGGCTCCCCCTACAAATTCTGCTGGCAGTGAGTCAGCGCCTCAAGTTAGCCGAGGAGTAAGTCAAAGAAGATCTTCAGGCAACTTGTCTCCAACAGGGCCTGATAATAGTGTCAACTGGCTACAAAAATCCTCCCAATTGCAGCCTTCTTCCCCAGTGACCCAGCCACAGTTACAGCAGCAGCAGCAGTTATCACCATTGCAACAGACTCAGGTTCTGCAAGCAGGGAATAGCAGTTCGTTTGCTAGACCCAATGACTGTAGACTGGATTGAACTGTCCTCAACAGATATGGATGATTCCTAGGTGGCTAATTAGTCCCTGAATGGGCAGCATGCCTGGGAAACAGCGGTGTACAGGTAAAACATTCTTTTAGCTTAATATGTACTAAAGTTAGTCTATCAGCAATTTAGGTATCCAAATACGAGGAATGAAATACTTGAAATGCTCTAGAAAAAGATGAAACCCATCAGTAGAGGTCTAGAGTTGATTTTCACTTAGACACCTCTAGTAAGCCTGGTACATTTTGGATTGTTGAAGTATAAAACATGGTGTAATATTGGTAGAATCGGCTAATTCTTGCTTATTTTATTGTTCAGATGAAGCTTGTTATCCCCGAGGGCATCACTTCATGGCAAGTTGGTGAATTTTCAAGGTTTAGCAGTACTAGATGAACGGCTGCTATTTTTTTTGGGTTTCTGTATATTATTGTTGCCCTAGAGCCTCAGGAAGGTAGGGACAGATATAGAGGTATATGTACAGGGTTTCACTTTATCTGGGTTTTCCCCTCTTTAAACGTTACTTTTTTCATTTTCGTAAAGCCCCTAGCTCCACCTGCTCACCCAGTGGTTCCTGTTTGATTTTGCCCCAGTAGATCATTCCCATGTATCATTGCCCGTGAATTCAAGGGGGTAGTAGTTGTCATTTTTATGGCCAAAGGCTGTGGGAAATTTTGTGAATACTAGTCTTTTGTATTTGTCAGAACAGTCACCATACATGACTGCAGCTTCGTAGTAGCCTCCCTGATTCTTGTAAATTGTTCTTGTTTGCATTTTGCAAATCTTTATTGAGATCCAATTGCTGCTGTGTTGCTTTTGAATCATACAACATATAAATGCAAATGCCAGGATCTAATTGTCAGTGCTTTGTTGTAAGAGCAATCATAGGCATAAACAAGTAACTGATGTTTGCCTGCCAAGGCAAAAGATGGCTTGGGAAATTCACTGATAACCAACAAGAAGCGAATCCTTTTTCTCAAAGTTGTAAGCTCATGTATAATGTTGCCAACAATTTTGCCTGAAACGTATTGGTAAAGTAAGCTTAAATCTGAGACCACAATTTGGGTGTTTAGCATTACAGATGAAATCAACGATGGTATATTTTAGTTTCTTTGATGTTTTTAATCTTCAACTTGCAATTTTAAATATTCCGTAGGAACCTTTTTAAAAAGTGAAGTGATTTGTGTAAGGAAATTTCATAAAAACGACGAAGGGAAAATCATGAAACAATATTTTTAATTTAGAAGAGGTAGTTGAAGAAGTAGCATCACATGAGAAGAACCCAAGGCTTCTCATCTCTCTACAAGTTGTGTTTCGACAAATCTTTATCTCCCAAGGCACAAGCCGTACTTGATATCTTACGGTTATACTATCACACTATAATTTATTTGTACCCCACTGACATTATACCATGATTTATGGATTATTAATTCAAAACGTCACTCTTCTAAGTGAAATAAAATATACTTGAATTATGCATTTTACTTGGCCAATCATTTATCTGTCAACACTCTATAACAGATTTGAATTCAAGATCCTCATCACAATTTATATCATTGAGTGCTACCTCATATCAAAGATACTGTCGACGGTTATTTGATATCGATTCCAATCAGACATAACTTATCGAGAGCTCTTTATATTTTATCATTTTTCAGGCACCTGATTCGAGGTTTTATAACGTGTTATATCAATGTGATCTTTTATCACTTGCCTAGTTATCATGACCAAATTGATCATTTTCTCCTCTCCTTCGTCAAGGAATTTTATATTTGGAACCGATTGATCTATTACGCTTTCGGCGTATCATAGAATTTATCCTTCAAAGACTTCACATCGGAGCATTTGCAATTGAATTATATCATAGGATCAGTACATTCATCTGAAAATTGGTTTGCAACATTATGCTCTTAATTTAACTATACTTACAATATTATAAGTATAGTTTCATAATTATAGTTCGAAAAAGACATGTTTTTTGCTTTACTTTTGTTGTACCATAGGTACATAATCAATGACAAATTTGTATTGCCACATAATAATATTATTTTGGTCATGACACAACCTTTATAGGCAAAAGTTTTTATTCCTTTTTCTCTTTTGGTAGTTCACAAATAAACATATTATAATATTTATGATGTATAAAACACGATCATTGATCATTTTTGTCAAATAAAAATTTATTTATTCCTCTCAATTCTCTTGTAGAGATGAGTTGTGACATATATCATTTTTTTTTCTCAAATCTCCCATAGAGGTGAGTTGTGGCATATATTCAACCCGTAATGATTTTATCACATCTAGACCATTCTCTTATAGAATGGTCGAGCATTCACGATACTCATTACAAGTCACATTCTCTTCAAGGAATGAACTAATCATTTATATGTACCTCATAAATTTGCATTATAAGGACATTGTCATGACTTTAAAATTTATCATATTTCCATAAAGCACCTCAACATCACTTTGAAAGATCAATTGTACCATCACTTTATCTTCTTGTCTTTTGATGGAGGATTATAAACTTGTCAAATTATTTGGTTGACAACATTAACAAGTCCAATGATATTTCATACCATTTTGATGATAAAAAATTGCCTTCACATTTTGAAGGACTATTTAGAGAACCAGTAGTGTTCTTCCTCTTAGAATTACCACTGATGACTATTATAATTTCATCCTTTCACACTCTTTTTCATATTGTTAATCAAATTTGTCATCTTTCAGACTAATTCTTTACTGCTACCACATTCATACGATAGAATGGAGCAAGTCAACATGCGGATTTCAAAGTTATATATGTTACTACCACATTCTTTTCAAGGAATGGAGCAAATTCAATAGAAGTATTTCAAGGCTTTTCATTAAAATATATTATTTCTGACTTAGTCATCATATCATCAATATGGTGCATTGAGACTGAAACTCAATGTATTATCCATATAAGGCGTATTAGGACATAATTCTACTGGACTTGAACCCAATACATTATAATCACTGTACATCAATACTCAAATTGATGTCTTGCCCTCTTGGTGCTATAGAACTTGAATTTATAGTCTTATCCTCAAATAATTTTCATTATGTATATATGGACTTAACCTAATATCTTACCATTTTCTGCGATTATGGGACTTGAATTCATTGTCTTACCCTTCAATCATTGTCATATAAGTCATAACCAATAGAACTCAACCATGAGTCTTTAGAAAAATAAATCAAGAATTATAGAAATAATTTTAGTCAAAATAAGACTATGAGATGTTTTATCACCTCTAGTAATTATAAATAATAATAAGTTCCTCATAATCAATAATTAGAAAATTAACATGAAGATTTACTTTTTTATTCTTCAATTTTTTTTCAAAACTAGAATTGTAGTATAATTATAAATCAATGTATAAATTGATAAAGTAAAACAAACCAATATGTTCTACCTTTTCATATTACACATATATACTAAACTAAATTATTAGTATAAGAGGAACTTTTGAAAATATAAATGTGTAACACGAAAAAATGAATAGAAGCTTTTCTTGCTGACAAAAGTTTCAACTATAACTCCTTTGTGAAGTACAATAATTTTTAGAGCATATTTGTGATGAAAACGTGTTACAAAATCAAGCACATAATATAATAGAAAGAGAAGATGACAAGAGAAGTAAGATGGAAGATAAAAAAATTTTCTTCTATTCAAGTATGTATATCAAATAGTGAATGATATAACTCTAGTGGATCATCCAAATAAAATAATGGAGTTATAACATAATTTAATTTTTAGTTAATTAGATTGATAATTTTTATTTTATATGCCTGACTCTATTATTATTTACCGGGTTATATTAACTTTGGTATGTATACACTTTATTTTAGTTATTTTTTTGTATTAAAGTAATATTATAAATAAACCGCGACCATGATTTCTGTTTAAATTTTGAGTATGTGTTACAATAAAAATACGGAAGAAATCAACAAACAGAAGGTTGAATATATTTATCTTTCTCTTTTTAGGATTATAAATATATATATATCCTCGTGTATGTTGAATATATTATTATTGAAGAAGAGTTTTATTGCATGGTATCGGAGCCTTAGGAGGTTAAAACAACCAAAAAACAACAACAGAGAACTGATTCCAATGGCAAAGGACGATAATATCTCCACAACAACATCTGGCTCGCTAGGGACATAGTTGATTGCAACAACACAAACCTCATTCACTAATATTAATATACCTTTACCGTCACTAAATCTTGCACACCAATTACCAGTTAAACTCACATCCTCAAATTTTTTATTGTGGAAGACGCAATTTCTTCCGATGTTCCAGATCAGTTTCTGACTGGTGATCAACCTAATCCTGCATACCATGGTTGGATAAGACAAGATCAACTTGTGTTAAGTTAGATCGTTGTTTCAGTCTCCAGAGGTATTTTACCTCAATTGGTTGGTGCAGAGACTGCTCAGAATGCATGGAGCAAACTTGTGGGTGCCTATGCGTCTGGATCAAAGCCACATATTCATGAGTTAAAAACACAATTACACACGTTACGAAGAGATAATGCAAGAATTGAAACCTATGTGCAAAAGGCAAAGGGAATTGCAGACAAGTTGGCTGCATTGCAGCATCCCGTTAATGATGATCTGGTTGAATTTATTATCGCTGGTTTGGGACCAACCTATTGACCCTTTACAAGATCACTTGAATCACATCAAGAGAATATTTCTTTTGATGCTTTATACATATTGTTGTTGAATGAAGAAAGACAATTAAAAAGCGATGAGGCTCTTAATGTCATCGTGGTCGCTCTTCGAATCAAGTTTACTCCGAGATGGCTCATAATAGTGGTTATCAACACCATACTCCATCCTCTAATATTCAGTCTTCAATCACAGATGCATCAACCATTATTTGTCACAATTGTGAAGGAAAAGGTCACATCACACAAGTACGCCCATCACCTAGAACAACTAATGGAACTCGATCTTTTGGCAAACTCGTCTCTAACCTAGCAAACACGCAACCTTCGCCTACCCAAGATTGGTTGATGGATAGTGGCACCACGCATCATATGACGACTGACCTTAATAATCTTGCCATTCACTCTGAATATCAAGGTCCAGAGGAGGTAACTCTAGGTAATGGATCTAAACTACCAATTTCTCATATAGGTAAAAGTTCCATTATTGCTTCTGCCAAAAAAGTTTAAACTTGACGATATTCTTCATGTACCTACTGCTACTCAGAATTTGGTATTCATAAATTCTTTTACCAAATCTAATAATGTCTCAGTTGAATTTTTTCCTAATCATTTTTCGATTAAGGACTTGGCAACGAGGGCACCACTACACACATGGTTGAGTAACAGCGGGCTATATTCGCTCCTAGTTACAAAGTTATCATCTCTGGCCTCCTTTGCAGCTTCTTTTAGTACTTGGCATGCTCGTCTGGCTCATGCGTCATATTCTACTATTTGTCAAGCATTACCATAAAATTTTTTAATGTCTAGTAAATCTTCCACTGTATGCACTACTTATGCAGTCAACAAAAGTCATAAGGTCCCTTTTAGTGAGTCTAGTTTTCAGGCCTCCGGTCCTCTTGATTTGATTTGTTCAGATGTTTGGGGTCCTTCCCCAATTGTCTCTAATGAAGGTTACCGTTATTTTCTGATCTTTTTCGATCACTCTAGTAAATATAGTAGGATATATTTTCTTTGCTTTTAGTCTGATGTTCTCTATGTGTTTATTCAATTTCGTACCTTGGTTGAAAAATATTTTGATTTTTCTATTGATTTTTTTCAAGCT